ATTTTCCATATTGTTTATCATGCATAATACTTTTTAGCAAATGTCAAGATAAGAGTTATGCTGTAAGTAAAGGTTTTTTTCTGATTAATTATATATTTGATTAAATACATGTTAAGGAATCTATTATTTATATATTAGATTTAAAAGTTCTTATGCTTTTTTTTTTTTTTTTTTTTTTTGCCAAATAGGTACTAAGGCATCTGAGAAAAAACATTCCCATCTGTCTATCACATAAAACACACACCAGAGGGCAATATCTACTCTCAAGATTTCCAAGTAAAAGATACAGCAACTTATTGTTATATTTATTTGCTAGATTTATATTGTTTTTCTTCTCAAAGCACAAAGCATCATGAATACCACGTCCACCAATTTTTTGACAGTACCACAATCCTGTATGAGTGGCAAGTTTGAGACTCTTTCAAATATTCCCAGTAAACCTCCATGGTTGAAAATTAACTTTAACAGGGTATTCCTAATCCTAGGCAATCCTTTTGATTAGTGCATGAAATTAAAAAATACTGGAAGTCTATGGAGATTCACAGTCATCCAGGTCATAATGTATTCCTCACATTATTGTAGTGTCTATGTTAGTATTAACTGGAAGTTTTGCCTATTTAAATCTTCCTCTAATACTTACTTAGATTTTGGATTAAATGTTTTGTATTCCCTCTTCCACCTCTGTTGAATCCAATCATCTATATCATGAGAAATAGGAATATAAAATATATCATTTCTAAACTGTGGACATTCTGAAAAAATATTTTAAGATTGCTTATATTCTGGTCATCACAATTTTGCATTTTCCAGGCTATTCCTTTAATTCTCTAAATTCAGAAATACGTTAAAAAAGGAGATATACAGTAGTTGGAACATAGGCACATTCAAACTTTCAATCCAGAAGAACTGTAGAACTCAAGAAGTTAATCAGCAAACATTCTTCATCCCTAATAGTTGTTAGTGCAATTTAAAGATGCTAAATGTGGGTGATTGGCAGCCTGTGGCTTGTCACAGGATGACCACTCTTGATTTTTGGTGAAGTGAGTAGCAAGATATAGTGCAATTGTGAGGGGGGGGGAGTACAATTGTGAACTTGTTTAAACTATGTGGTCTATTTTTCCCTGAGATTTTTGTATAAAATGGTTTCCCCTACAATGCTTGCAGATAATATGACTAATTAAAGCTTCAGCTTTTCCAAGAGTTCTTTCTTTATATTGTAATTTGCTCACACACTTTGATATTTTGTTCTTTTTTGTCAGTCTTAACTCCTTCCAACTGCCCAGAAAAATCACTGCATTTTTCTTTACAAGGCTTTTCAGAAGGGGTTGCCATTACTTCCTTCCTAGGGCTGAGAGAGTGAGTGACAGGCCCAAAGTCACCCATCTGGTTTCATTCCTACAGCAGAACTAGACATCAGTATCTCCTGATTTCTAGTGTGGTGCCTTAAACACCACACAAAACAGGTTTTTACTTATTTTAGTTCAGGAGTATTCTTTTTTTCTCTTAGAAGTGCTTTGGCAAAACCAGACACTTGGTAGGGTGGGCAGGATGGGTGAGTTGGTACTATGTACTGTAACTTTTTTATGACACAACAAAATGAAAAAGCAAGAAGTCCATGTCATAATTGTAATAGAACATCATATAAGCTTACAGTAACCGTGCAATATGGTGTAAATTGGAAGAGATAAGAAACACTCCATTGTCTAATACCTGAAGAAACAAATCTAAATTGTTATACACCAGAATGATATTTTATTAAAATTTGCTGAAGAATGGTTTCATCCAAGCTGCTGATAACACACTAAAAGACTTGTCCAGGTTTTGTGGTTATGCCTTTTGTGTTATTTATGCCACCATCTGTCCAAATACATTTTAAAATACATTTTCATGTAAATGCACAATAAATTTATATTTAAAGAAAGAAAGGACAGATACTTCATGGATCAGTATAAGTATACTTTGAAAAAGTGTCATATGGATACTGAAATAACCTAGGCAATATCAATACCTTTTGTTGAGGGTGAGTGGCTTTCACCTAAAAGAATATGAAATTTTCTCCTATATTTATACTTCTGTATTTCCTTCTTGTACTCTTGCCTTATTTGTGGATATTTCTTGTCCACACTGTACTTCTGCAATTATAGTTACTACTTTGCTGTGCTTTACTCAATAAATTCTATCAACATTTGCCTAATCTGTGTGGCTATTACTTTCTTATTCGTGAACATGATATATTGTATACAGCACATATCCTTCAAGAGTCTTTCTAATGCCCATTCCATCTAGAGATATCCAGGACTCTGAGATGGGAATTAAAAGTCTGAGACTTACATAGAGAACAAGACCTTTGGAATTATGTAATGATTCCACACCTCCTTCATTTAGTAAGCAAGAGGGAAAAACAAGAAGGTTAGCTCAGATGAGCTCTAAGCATTAGACGGTTTTTAACACGAAGAAATCAAAATGTTTCACTAAATTCCTCAAAATACTATGTTCATTTATATTAGCACTACTCTGCTTCAGAGTTATGGAATATGATTGCCCAGGCTGTAAGACAAAATCTTATTCTGAATTTGAGGAGATATGAGCTTTTTGAGGTAGGTCAGTCAAGAATCAACTCCTCAAGTTTACCTGGAAATGTACTTTTATAGTCATGAAAGACTGATTATGTTTTCCTTTCCCTCCTTTTTATACAGAACAGAGTTACCTAGGAGACTTTGATATTTTTTTAATGTTTTCCTCATTTCCTAGGTGCCAAAATGGATCATTTTTGACATTGTTGCTGCATAGCTTTTCAACTTATTTTGGGCATCATGTTAAGACATGCTGTGTTTAAGCATGGTTTGTAAAATATGAGGAAGATAAAGTTTCAATCCAAAATGGGAACAAGAAAGAAATGAGCTTGACCAGAACCATTAAAAACTGAAAGAGCTGAAATACTCTTGAGGTAATCAAGACTTCTAGGAAAGAAGATCTACCTGTCCCAAAAAAAAGGAGACTTGCAGTGCTATGAAAGGCTATTCCTATCCTTTTCACATATCAGGGTAAAATATCAGTGCATATGTAAAAGAATTGAGTGTGGCATCAAAATACTGATGTACTGACTTTATCAATGTGACCACCCTTGCTCCCATATAATGACAGTGTAAGCTTTCTTTCTACTGACTTACAGAAGCATAAGAATTTCATACATTATATCTGCCTCTAGAGATATTCTTATTGTGTATATTTCTTAAAAATTTTGTGATTATATTTTATAATAATTGCACGTCTCACAATTTACACTGTGGCCCTCATTCTGTTAATTATCTGAGATATTATTATTCTATATGATATGATAACTTCTCCTGGAGGAAACTGTTGTGTTCTTAATGGACAATTATGTTAATAAGCAGACAAGTCAGTTTCATTTTTGGTGTACAAGTCTCTTGTGGGAAACAAAACAAAGATTAATAAACATTCAGAATAGAAATTTATATGACTGCAAATTGATGTTTCAATACATAAAAATTAGTGGGACAGCATTGACTTAGTGGTAAGATATTTAACACTCTTAAAATCATAGAAGACATTATAGTGACAAATAAGTTAGTTATAAATTGAAAATTTAACAGAAAACATATTTCCTTTTTTTCTAGAACAAATTGATATTTATTTCAATATGCTTTATTTTTTATATCTCAGGGTTGGCTTTATAACTTTTTTGCAGGAGGAGAATTCACGCGAATAATTGCATAAGGTAGTTTTTCTGATATAATGGCATTAGAATGTAGCCTGCTTTGGGGATGAGAACAAAGGATTTTAGTATAATTTTTCAGAAATTTCACCTCAGACAGTAGATTTAAAGACAATTTGGAGAGATTTCTATGTAGCTAATAAAGAATGAATTAATTGCATATTTAACATGTTGGTACCTTTTCCACATGATAATTATAAAAGAATAAAAACAGTTATAATTTGCATAAATTTGGATCAAACCATCAGCCATAAGCTGATCATTATTAGGTAAATTAGCATCAGCAAAGTCATTTCATAATCTGTCTGAATAAAAAAAAGGATGGTAATATTTCTAAATGTTTTTTATTTTGTTTTATTTTTTGTTTCTTTTTAAACATTTTAATATTATTGATGATATGTCAGAGTTCAGAGATGTAATAGGTTGTGTATCATTCTGTGGCCAAACTCTCATGGAAGGAATATAGATGTATATTGAAAGAGAGACTGCTTTTTTAAACTGAGCTTTCATCTCTTTCTGATTAATTTATTTTGCTAATATTTGATTTCTTTTGATTAAATATATTTTATAGTAGTATAATTGTTCATATAATACCAATGAAAGAATATCAAAATAGCAGTTGTAAATAAAGTTCTATCTTCCTTTCTTTTAATAATATACCATTAAATGCATGTTTAGGAGACTAATCTTTATGTATTAGTTTAAAGGCATTTTGTGCTTATTTTCTTTACTCTAAAAGCTGCTAGGGTAAAAGAGAGAAGAGGAGAAAAAAACATTTCCATCTGTCTGCCACATAAAACAGAAACATACAGACACACAGCATTTCCAGTGAAAGACATAAGAGTTTATTTTTATGTTTTTATGCTAGATTTACAATTACTTTCTATTAGAAGCACAAAGCACAATATATAACACATCCCACAATTTTACAACAATACCATAACCCTTAACCAGTGGTAAGGGATTGTGTCACTGTTGAAAATGGATTTGAACAGGGTTTTCTTAACCCTAGGTAATCTTTCCGATCATGATAGGAGATAATGAAAGGAAAAATGCCATATTTGTGTCTGGTCCTTAGTGGATTTCTTGGTGGGTAGAATATGGTTTATGCTTATCTTAAATATATTTTGTCTGTGGTCTAGTCCTCTGTTAATTCGGTCCATGCTTAACAATACTTTTTATTTTCTGTTCTTACCACATATCAAAAGGCCACTTACTTCATCTCCCTTTTCTTATTCCTTGCAGTTATGACCTGCAGCTTTCTCTTAAATGTCACATGGAGAACCAAACAACAGTGTCTTACTTTCTGCTCCTGGAATTCTCACAAAATCGGCAACTGCAGCTTTTGCATTTCTTCTTTCTCTTTGTGTTATATTTGGCAACTGTAACAGCAAATCTTCTCATCATCACTGCAATAGCTTTTGACCATCGCCTGCACAGCCCCATGTATTTCTTTCTTATGAATTTAGCTGTACAGGACCTGGGCATTGTTTCAGTCATTGTTCCCAAATCCATGATCAATTCTCTCATGGATACCAGACACATCACTTATTTTGGTTGTGTTATTCAAAACTTTCTCTTTTTCTCCTTTGAAGTTTCTGATTTCTCCCTCCTGACAGTTATGGCATATGATCGGTATGTTGCCATTTGCAATCCACTGCACTATGAGATGGTGATGAATTGGAAAGCCTGCACTGAAATAATAATAGTAGTGTGGTTTGCAGGTCTTCTATGTGGCACATTGCATACCATTGGCACTTTTTCCATACTTTTTTGTTCTAATGTTGTCAACCAATTCTTTTGTGAAAGTCCACAATTGCTAAAACTATCCTGCTCTGGCTTAAATCTACTTGAAGTTGGAATTGTTATAGCCAATATCATTACTTCACTAGGTTGTTTTACTTTTATTATTGTATCTTATGCAGTGATCTTCAAGGCAGTATTAAGAATCCCTTCTGATCAAGGCAGGCAGAAAGCCTTATCCACCTGTATTCCCCACCTTACAGTAGTGTCTATGTTAGTATTAAGTGGAAGTTTTGCTTATGGGAGACCTCCCTCTAACACACCATCTTACTTAGATATTGGGTTGACTGCTCTGTATTCCCTCCTTCCACCCCTGTTCAATCCAATTATATATAGCATGAGAAATAAGAATATCAAATTTGTCCTTTCTCAATTGTGGAGTGTCTGACAAATTCTTTTAATGTTATGTAGATTCTGTTCACCACAGTTTTGCATTTTTTCTGGCTTTTCTTTTACTTCTATGAATAGAGGATTAAGGTAGAAAGGGATAGTTGGGATGGAGGCAAATCCGAAATCTCAAACCAGGAAAACCTAGCACTCTAGATTTTGCTTAATATAGGTCCTGCATCCTAAACTACTGTCAATTCATTCTACAGATGCTAAATATGGATTGTTTGACAGTTCTGGCATTCCACAGGCTGATAATTCCTTATATTTAATGATAATTCCTTATATCTCCATGTGAGGATCAGGGTATAATGTGAATGGGGGAAATACCTTCAATCTAGAGGAGTTTTAAATGTTGTGGCCTATTTTCCCCTTTGCTTTCCTATACAAAATAGCTTCCCTCTAAGGTTGGCAGATAATATAACTAGTTAAAGCTTCAGCTTTTCCAAAAGTACATGGGCCTTGATAACATTTCCCTCCTTAATTGATCATTTATTCCTAAAGTTTGATATTTTGCATCTTTCAGCCTGCCCGGACAATTCTCTATAGTTTTCTGTGCAATCTTTTTCAGAAGGGGTTTGCTATTGCTTCCTTTAAGGACTGAGGTGGGGTGGTAGCCCAAAGCCATCCAGCTGGCTACATTCCAAAGGTGGAATAGAAGTCTAGACTCTTGATTTCTAAACCAATGCCTTAACTTCTGTGTCAAACAGATTTCCGAGTCTTTAGCTCAGACTATTATTTGTTTCTTTTAAAAATGTTTTGGCAAAACCAGACACCTGGCAGGATGAGAAAGATTTGTGAGCTTTTACTGTATCACATACACTTTTGATAATCAAGTAAAACAAAAAATGGAAGAAATTAAATTAGCATGATACATGCTTCTAACGAATAAAATAATAATGATGAAATTTTTTTCAGAAATCTTACATCTTGGTACAAACTGGAAGAGATAAGACATGTTTTCTGATCCAATGCATGGACAAAGGAAGATAGATAGATCTACATCAAGGATGATACCTTACTGAAATGTCCTTGAGAAATAATGAATTCTATCCAAGCTATTGATAATGCATATCAAATGCCATATCACTATTTTTGTGATATATCTGCCACGACCCTCAAGTGTATACAATATGGAAGATTCACCAAGTACTTTGGGGCTTGGTATAAGCATACTTTGGAAAGGTGCTATATTTAATCAACAAGGTGACAACAATAACTTCCTTTGATGAAGGTGAGGGGCTTTCAACTAGAGGGATATGAAATTTTCTCCTACATTTTAAATACTCTTTTGAATTTTGCTGTCTTATTTTCTTGATTTATCTGTGGATATTTCCTGTTTACATTACACTTTGCTGTTAAAGGGAGTTTTGCTCTGCTTTAAACTACGATTGATTTTTTCTTTGTTTCTTTCTTTCTAATTCATGAACCTATTATTCCTATTTTATGTGAGAAAAAGGAATGAGCCCATATTTCTTTAAGACTCTTTCTAATTCCAGTTCCACCTAGAAATGTCTGTATGAGCTCTTGGTTTGTTGAAAGAAGTCAGCATTCCATCAAGGATAAAGATAAAATCTGTTTATAAACATTTTCCACCCAGGATTGTTCAAATCTTGAAAGATTTTGCTTGGAACACACAGCTAGAGGGATTTAAATTATTTAAAAGAAACAGACCAAATAAAAGAGGAATTGGAGTTGCTCTCTATATAAGAAATAACTAAATCTCTACAGAAATAGAGCACAACAATGATGAAAACTGTCTTGAATTCACTTGGGTCAATATAAAAGGGGGGAAATGATATTGCCATAGGTGTATACTATAGGCCGCCCAACCAAACAGAGATAATAGATGAACTTTTTGCTAGTCAGTTAACTAAGATACGTAGGAAGCACATCACGATAGTAATGGGGGACTTTAATTACCCTGACATCAACTGGGAGACAAACTCTGCACCAAGTGGAAGATCAAACAGATTCCTGACAAACCTAGCAGACAACTTTGTCTCCCAAAAAGTAGAGAAGGGAACTAGGGGATCAGCCATATTGGACTTAATTCTCACTAACAGAGATAAAATGATAGAAGGTGTTGAAACCACAGGAACCTTGGGGTGTGTGTGTGACCATGCAATATTGGAATTCAACATTATGCAAGCACAAGCAATAGAACACAGTGAAACTAGGGTCTTGGACTTTAAGAGAGCTAATTTCAACAAACTTAGAGAGAGCTTGGGAAGGATTCCATGGATGAGAATCCTCAAGGGGAGAACAACTCAAGAAGCTTGGGAAATTTTGAAAAGTGAGGTTATAAAAGCCCAGTCTAGCACTATACCAACAAAGAAAAACAATAACAGCTCTCAAAAAAACCAGCATGGCCGCAGAAAGAACTATGTGATAAATTGAAAGACAAAAAGGACAAGTATAAAAAAATGGAAAGAGGGGCACATAACTAAGGCAGATCATCAGCAAATAGCCCGAGCCTGCAAAGATGAAGTAAGGAAAGCTAAGGCTCAAAATGAACTAAGGCTTGCAATAAAAGTCAAAAATAACAACAAAAAAAGATTTTTTCAACATGTAAAAAACAAGAAAAAAGTTAAGAAAATTATTGGTCCATTAGTGGGAGAAGGTGGCAAGAAGATGACAAGCAACAGGGAGAAAGCAGAACTACTCAACTCATTTTTGCATCCATATTTACACAAAGGAAAAAAAGTCCAATCTATCAAAAACAGTGTTGTAAACAGATTAAAAATACGTTAAGATAGGCAAGAAAATGGTAAGTGAGCACCTGTCCACCCTAGATGAGATCAAATCACCAGGACCAGATGGACTGCACTCCAAGGTTCTGAAGGAACTGGCAGATGTGATCTCAGAACCGCTGAATTATATCTTTCAAAGATCCTGGAGCACTGGGGAACTGCTAGAGGACTGGAAAAGAGCTGATGTAGTTCCCATCTTCAAAAAAGGGAAAAAAATGGATCCAGGAAACTATAGACCTATCAGCCTGATCTCAATATCTGGGAAGATCTTGGAAAAGATAATCAAGCAATGAATCAGCGAACACCTAGAGGCAAACAAAGTCATTACCAAAAGCCAACAAGGGTTCATCAATAACAGATCATGCCAGACAAATCTTATTGCATTTTTTGATGAGGTGACAAAATTAGTGGACCAGAGGAATGCTGTGGATATAATTTACCTGGACCTCAGTAAGGCATTTGATAAAGTAGACCACAACCTACTACTTGATAAGATAGAAAAATGTGGGTTAGATATCATCACCACCAGATGGATCCATAGCTGGCGGACCAGCTGTACTCAGCATGTGATCCTCAATGGAACTGCATCTACATGGAGGGAAGTGTCTAGTGGGGTGACCTAGGGCTCTGTTTTGGGTCCAGTGCTCTTCAACATCTTCATCAATGATTTGGATGAGGGGATAGATGGAGAACTCATCAAATTTGCAGATGACATCAAGCTGGCCAGAATAGGCAACACTTAAGGCTTAAGATACAAAAAGATCTTGACAGACTTGAACATTGGGCACTATCTAACAAAATGAAATTCAATGAAAAAGTAAGGTTCTAAATTTAGGCAAGAAAAACCAAATGCACAGGTATAGTATAGGTGGTACCTTGCTCAATAGTAGTAACTGTGAGAGAGATCTTGGAGTCCTAGTGGACAATCACTTAAATATGAGCCAGCAGTGTGCTGCAGCTGCCACAAAAGCCAACACAGTGCTAAGCTGCATTGACAGACGGATAGAATCAAGATCATGTGAAGTATTAATACCACTTTACAATGCCTTGGTAAGACCACACTTGGAATACTGCATCCAGTTTTGGTCACCACGATGTAAAAAAGATGTTGAGACTCTAGAAAGAGTACAGAGAAGAGCAACAAAGATGATTAGGGGACTGGAGGCTAAAACATATGAGGAATGGTTGCTGGAATTGGTTATGTTTAGTTTAATGAAGAGAAAGATGAGGGGGGACATGATAGCAATATTACAATATCTCAGTGGCTGCCACATAGAAGAGGGAATCCAGCTATTCTCCAAAGTGTCTGAGGGCAGGACAAGAAGCAATGGATGGAAACTAACCAAAGAGAGAAGCAACCTAGAACTAAGGAGAAATTTCCTGATAGTTAGAACAATTAATCAGTGGAACAACTGCCTCCAGAAGCTGTGAATGCTCCAACCCTGGAAGTTTTTAAGAAAAGACTGGACAGCCATTTGTCTGAAATGGTTTAGGGCAGTGGTGGGATTAAAATATGTGAACAACCAGTTCTCTGTGTGGATGCCGCTTCCAGATGTCCATTCTGGGCCTGGGCAACAAAAAATTAGCTACCAGTTCTGCCAAAGTAGTGCAAACCGGCTGAATCCCACCACTGGTATAGGGTTTCCTGCTTGAGCAGGTGGTTGGACTAGATGACCCTCCAAGATCCCTTCCAACAATATTATTACTATTATTATTATTATTATTATTATTATTATTATTATTATTATTATTATTATTGTTGTTGTTGTTGTTGTTGTTGTTGTTGTTGTTGTTGTTGTTGTCTAACAGAAGAAATTGTTTGACATATTTGATTACCAGAGATGGTGTTTCATATATCACCCTAAATAATGATTAGAGATTTTAGTGTTGAATGAACTATGATTTGCAGGAATGTAAAACAAACTAACTCATATAATCAAGAGTTAGTTTTACTAGATTCATAACAGCATATTTATTCTCAAACTAAAGAAACAATATGATTTAAAAGTTATGTAAATAAGGAAATAATAACTTATGAAGTCCATTATGTCACTATTACATTTCATATTTATTTTTTTAAAGAACTTTCAGCACAAAAGTACTTGGTAGCGTTATTTCTGTACTAGGTTTTTTTTATGCTTTCATATGAATGCATGTGGACAAAACGTATTCCCAAAATAAAAAAGAGAATATTCCTTTATTTGGAGAATATTAGTCGATGTACTGGATTATATACATGTAAAAAAGTCTGGAAATGTCTTGAAAATCATACTTTGTGGTTGTCCCATGACTGACCTCATTTGGGTTTAGCCTTTCCTCAAGAGGGTCTTCTGAGTAGTAGACAATTTTTTTTTTCAAATATAGCAAAACAAAAATGAGGCTGTAAAAGATTGAAAAATATGGTTGGAGTCTGGTCCTTTCTTCAATATACATACAAATAGCAAAATGCAAGTTTTATATTGTATCACATTTCTCTTCTTGCTTCTCACCACAACTCTTCCTTTTACTTTCTACTTTATCTATATATCAAAATTCTCTGGGATGAGAATTGAAAGTCTGAGAAATTCATAGAGAACAAGTCCTTTGGAGTTATGTAAAGATTCCTCACTCCCTTTATTTAGCAAGCAAGAGAGATAAACAAACAGGTTAGCTCAGAATGGATGTTAATCTTTTAGACTTTTCTTAATATGGAGAAAATCAAAATACGTCACTAAACTTGCCCATATACAACAGTCATTCACATTGCATTATACTGCCTTATAGTTATGGTATATTATTACCTATGCTATAAGCCAGAATCTTATTCTGAATTTGGTAAGATATCTCCTTTTTGAGGTAGGCCAGTCAAGAAACCAACTCCTCAAGTTTAACTAGAATTATACTTTTATAGACTTGAAAGTCTAATTGTGTTTACCTTCCCTCCTTTTTATATAGAAGAGAGTTAGCTTGAAGAGAGCTTTTTTTATGCTTTGCTCATTTGCTGGGTTGTTCTTGTCATTCTGTATAGTTTTTCAATTCTTTCAATTCAAGACACGTTTTGTTTAAGCTTGTTGTAAAATATGAGTTACATAAAGGTTCAATCCAATATAGCTATATGAAAAAATAAGATCTGGTGGAGCTGAAACTCTTGAAGTAATCAAGACTTCTAGGAAACAAAATTTATCTGGCCAACATAAGGAGACTTGCAGTGCCATCGAAGGCTATCTTCTACCCCTTTTATATTTAAGTACAAGATTTTAGTGCATATATAAAACAAGTGCTCTATCAAAAGTTGTACCAAAATACTGATGTACTGACTTTGTCAATGTGGCCACTCTTACTGTTACCTTTCTTTCTATTAACTTAGAAGAACATGGGTGTCCTGTACCTTCTATTATATGCTGTGCCCTCCCAATGAGATATTCAATTTTTTTCTTCATTTTCCAGCTGTGCGTTTTATTCATTCAAGCCAGCCAAAGCTACTGAATTGCCTAAATTGCATAGAGAAGATTGATTTTCCTACCAATTTAGATATATTAAAAATATGCTGAAATATGCTGAAATATGAAAAATGCTGAAAACTGTTTCTTGATGTTTTGCCACATGGGCTATGGATGGGTTCCTCTGAAGAAGTGGTAGAAGCCATGGGGGAAGGGGAGGATAAAGTTTGCAACTATCAATTATATTATATTTGTATAATTCCCTTTCTAAATCTTATCCATTGTGCATCTTGTTCTGTGAAGGGTTTTTTTACTCATTTTTACTCATGGATTTACTATATTATTTTTTCTATTATAGGCATTTTTATAAGTCTCTATGAGCTTACATTGTGTCTCATTCTATGAGTCTTGTTTTAGGCATGTATCTGCAGTCACATCAGGAAGCCAAATGCACCCTACAAGGGGTGAGGTTTACAATACAACAGTGCAATAATCATGTTTTTTGAACTCCCACACTAATACCACTGAATTTTATAATTAATTATTTAACTATTGGTAGTCCACTAGGTTTCTATGGGTTTCCTGACACTTCTTTTCTGTCTTTTGCCTTTATTGTTTACAGGAAGACATAAATTTTCAACCACTGCACAATCATCTAGGCTGAACAAGCCCAATTCTCAGTTCTCTGTCACAGCCACAACATCTAGAATAGAGGATGGGATTTTTTGATAACTGGTGGTGAAAGAGAATCTGAAGTGATGAAACATGCTTCAGGGAGGTTTTCTCACTTGATCTATATTTCATCTCTCACTATCTGGACTTCTGGTATGACTACAGCCCCAATGGTGATAACAATCTGGGATATTATTATTTATGTGATATGATAACTGGTCCTGTATTATTTAGAGATAGCTCTTGTGCTCTTAATGGCCAATTATGTTAATAACCACACAGAAGTCAGTTTTATTTTGGGTGTACAACAAGTCTCTTAAGAGAAAGAAAACAAAGATTCATAAACATTCATAATAGAAATCTCTATGACTGCAGATAGATATTTCACTACATGAAAATTAGTGAGGCAGCATTTGCTTAGTGGTAAAATATCTCTTAAAAGCATGGAATACATCATCTGTATAGAGACAAATTGTCAGCTATAAATTGAAAGTTTAACAAAAAAGGTATTTTCCTCTTTTGTGGTACAAATTGATGCTTATTTCAGTATGTTTTATGTGTTCTACCTCAGGGTTGGTTTTATAACTTTTCGGTTGGAAGAGAATTTAAGTGAATAATTGCATAAGGTAGTTTTCTGATATAATGGAATAAGAAGTTAGGCAATTTGGGGAGAGAAAACAGAAATTGAAACTCAGGCAATATATTTAAATATATTAGTAAACAGAATATCATTTGGAGAGATTTTGGGGTAGACTTTAACGACATATTTAATATTGGTATCTTTTCCATATGATTATAAACAATAAAAACAGTTATTTTGCAGAACTTTGGACCAAACCTTCATTCTTGAAATGATAGGTGAATTAGTATTGTTAAATTCATCTCCAAATCTATCTGTATATGAATAAAAGAACTGTATAATAAGATTCCTAAATCTCTTTCTATTTCTCTGTTTTTAAACAAGTTATTATTGTTGAAAATGTGCTTACACGTCATTCGACATTGTTGAAAAAGAATGCTGAAATATCACAGTTCATAGCTGTAATAGGTTGTGTCTCATTTTCTGTCCAAACTCTATTACAGACATTATTGGTTTGTATTGGACGGGAGACTACTTTTATATTGGGTGGGACTGAATTTTCAAACTGAGTTTCCATTTCCTTGTGAATATTAGATAATGTTATTCTGCTAATGTTTGATATCTTTTGATTAAATATTTTTAACAATGGTATAATTGTGTCTTTATCACCAAGCAAATATCAAAATAGCAATTATATTGTAAATAAAATTCTATCATTTTCTAATTAACAATATGCCATTAAATATATATTTATTAATTTTATATGTTATAGGATTAAAGGCTTTTTATTCTATTATTTTAGCCTAATATCTGGTAGGGAAATTGAGAGAAAACTATTGTGATCAATTACATAAATTACCCGTAGAGAAATTATACAAGGAACAAATGTCTGCTCTCAAGATTTCCAAGTAAGAGACATAGCAAATAATTTTGATATTTATTGGTAAATTTACATTGTGTTCTAGAAGCACAAAGCACCATACATAGGTTTTTCCAATTTTCCAACATTACTACAATCCTGTAGGAGTACAGTCACATGATGATGGGTTTAATTATCCCAAGTAAACTTTCATTGATAAAAATAGACCTGAATCAGCTTTGTTTGACTCCTAGGCAATGTTTTTGATCACTACAACTGAAAAGAGGAAAGAAGGAAAAATGTGAAGTTGGTAGTTGGTTCTTTAGTACAAATGTATTACAGTAATAAATGACAAGAGTGTGCTCTAATATCCTCATCCTACATCTCTGTTTTCCATGCTCTGATTCTCATTCTGTCCATGCTTTCATTTCTTGATGTTTTCTATTCTCACCGCATATCAAAATGCTACTTCCAAAAATTTATCTAATTGAATTTTCCTCTTTTCTTTCCTTGCAGTTATGCCAGCTTTCTCATAAATGAAACATGGAGAACCAGACCACAGTGCATTACTTTCTGCTTCTGGAATTCTCAAAAAATCAGCATTTGCAGCTTTTGCATTTCTTCTTCTTCTTTGTGTTATATCTGTCTACTGTAACAACAAATTTTCTCATCATCTTTGCAGTTGCTTTTGATCATCGACTGCATAGCCCCATGTACTTCTTTCTAATGAATTTGGGTCTGCAGGATGTGGGCATTGTTTCAGTCATTGTCCCCAAATCCATGATCAATTCTCTCATGGATACCAGACACATCTCTTATTTTGGTTGTGTTACTCAAAACTTTCTCTTTCTTTCCTTGGAAGCATCTGATTTCTCCCTCCTGACAGTGATGGCATATGATCGGTATGTTGCCATTTGCCATCCTTTGCACTATGAGATGGTGATGAATTGGAAATACTGTACTGAAATAATAATTCTAGTGTGGATTGCCAGTCTCCTCTATGGAATGTTGCATACAATTGGCACTTTTTCCATCCGTTTTTGTTCTAATGTGGTCAACCAATTCTTCTGTGAAATTCCACAATTGCTAAAACTATCCTGCTCTGGATTAAATCTACTTGAAGTTGGAATTCTTGTGTTTGGTATCATTGCTGCACTAGGTTGTTTTACTTTTATAATTGTATCATATGCAGTGATTTTCAAGGCAGTGTTAAGAATCCCTTCTGAACAAGGAAGGCAAAAAGCCTTATCCACCTGTATTCCCCACCTTACAGTAGTATCTATGCTAATATTAAGTGGATGCTTTGCCTATCTGAGACCTGCCTCTAACACTCCATCTTACATTGATTTTTGGTTGACTGTTGTTTATGCCCTCCTTCCACCTCTGTTCAATCCAATTATCTATAGCATGAGAAATAAAACTATCAAATGTGTCCTTTCTCAGCTGTGGAAACTGTGATAGATTTTTAATGTTGTTTATATTCTATTCAGCATATTTTTTTTTCATTTTCCTGTCTTTTATTTTTTTCTGTGAGTAAAGGAATATGATAAAAAGGGATAGTTGGGATGGAGACAAATCCAACCTCTCAAACTTGAAGAACCTATCACTCTATATATTGCTTAGTCAATGTCCTGTATCTCTAATTACTATCCACACGCTTTACAGATGCTAAACATGGATGCTTGGCAGTTCCTGCATTTTACATGCTAACAATTCCTTATGTTTAGTGAAGTGAGTATCAGGGTGTAATGCGATTGGGGAAAACACCTGAAATGCAGAGGAGGTTTAAATGATGTGTTCTCTTTTCCGCTTTGCTTTCCTATATGAAATGGCTTCCCACTAATGATTTAAGAAGAGACTGGATTTCTGCTTAAACCAGAAGTCATCCAAAGTTCCTTCCAGCTCTATTCTAATTGATTGATTGATTGATTGATTGATTGGTCCGTAATATGGCTAGCTAAAGCTTCAGATTTTCCAAAGTATATAGGCCTCTATAACACTTCCCTTCTGAAATGGTTATTTTCTCACAAACTTTGATATTTTGTTCCTTTCATTCACCCTTAAATCCTGACAATTGTGTCCCTATATTTTTCCTGGTAACATTTTTTTCAGAAGGGTTTGCCATTGCTTCCTTTCAAGGGCTGAGAGAAAGGTACTGGCCTAAAGTCATACAGCTGGCTACATTCCTAAAGTGAAATAGAAGTTCCAGTTTTCTGCCTTAATATCTACATCACATTGGTTTTCAGATTTTTTTAGCTCAGAATATTTCTTTTCTTTAGAAGTGCTTTGGCAGGACCAGACAGCTGACAGGATGTGCAAGCTGTGTGAACTGATACTCACACAATCTTTTGATAGCCATGAGAAATAAAAAAGCAAGAAATTAAATTAAGAGGATGCATAATTCTTCTAGAACATCAAATAAGCTTTTGGAAGACTTACAACTTAATACAGAATGAAAGAGATAAAGCATGTTATCTGATCCAATACCTGGAGAAAGGAAGAGAGATAGATCTACACCAAAGATAATAGCTTATTGAATTATCTTCAAGAAATAATGAGTTTCATCCAAGCTACTGGTAATGCATACGAAAAGACATATCACTATTTTTGTGATGTCTCTACTACCATTTTCACAATACTTTTGTAAATGTACACAAAATGGAAGATTCACCATGTATTTTGGGACTCGGTATAAGTGTACTTGGGAATACTATATACTTATTGAATCACTTAGGTGACATCAGTAACTTACTTTGAGGAAGGTTCAGGGCTTTTAGGTAAAGAGATATGAAAGTTTCTCATACATTTATAGTGCTCTATTGAATTTTGAAATCTTGCTTTCTTGTCTTTTCTCTGGATATTCCTTGTCTACATTATGCTTAGCTGTTAATGTTATGATTTTGCTCTGCTTTGCTGAATAAACTCAACATTTAGGTCTGTCTGTCTGTCTGTCTGTCTGTCTGTCTGTCTGTCTCTCTCTCTCTCTCTCTCTCTCTCTCTCTCTCTCTCTCTGTGTGTGTGTGTGTGTGTGTGTGTGTGGTTGTTTCATTCTAATCCATGACCTTCCTGTTCACATCTTGTGTGGCAAAAAGGAATGAGCCCATATTTCTTTATGGGGGACTCAGATTAAAGAAAGAAAAATGCAAGATTGGGGTTGAGTCAATGGAGTTCTTGGGGTTCTGCATCAATGCCGACAGCATCCATGCGGCGGACTCAAAGCTGAAAGCGATTCAGCAGGCCCCAAGCCCAGTCCAAGGGAGAGCTTCAGGCCTTTTTGGGCCTTCTTAATTTTTACCATGCCTTCCTTCCAAACAAGGCCACTGTGGCAGAGCCATTACACCAGTTCTTGGACAGACAAACCCAGTGGAAGTGGACCAGCATCCACGAAAGGAGCTTCCAATCAGTCAAATCACCGCTGTCCTTGAATTCTGTATTCACACATTTTAACGAAAGGCTGCCAGTATGCATTGCATGTGATGCATTTCCGTATGGGGTTGGGACTGTGTTGAGCCATTTGTCGGCTGATTGGAAACAGTCTCCCATCGTCTACTATTCTAGGACCCTGTCGTCCGCAGAGTGCAACTACGCGCAAATTGATAAGGAGGCGTAGCAATCATGGCTGGAGTTAAAAAAATCCACGACTATTTGTACAGTTGCCAATTCACGGTCTTTACAGACCACAAGCCACTCCTAGGCCTTTATAGACCACAAGCCACTACGAACAAATAGACACCACAGATTCTGTCGCCTCGAATGTTGAGGTGGTCTATTTTTCTGTCAGCCTTCAACTACAGGCTGGTTCACAAACCGGGCAAAGAAATGGGTCTTGCAGATGGCCTTAGTAGGTTTCCCCTACCACATGTAGAGCTAGATCCAGCTCCAGCTGCACGCATCCTGGCTATCCAGGATCTGCCGGAGTCTCCCCTTCACACTGCGGACATAACTGCTGAGATGGCAGCTGACAAAATACTGAGTCGTGTATTGAATTGGGTGCACACAGGATGGCTAGACAAATGTCCAGGCCCATAATTTCAGAGCTTTTTCATGCGAAAAGATGAGCGTTCAGCTCATAAAGGGTGCATCCTTTGTGGAAATAGGGTCATAGTTCCCAGCTCGTTAAGACCCAGAGTGCTTGAGTCTCTGCACGAGGACCATCTGGGAATAGACCATATGAAGGCACTCATGAGGAGCTATCTTTGGTGGCCTGGGCTAGATAAGGCTATTGAAGCCCAAGTACATGGTTGCATCACTGTCAACAGTCCAGACCGGAGATGCTGCAAGCCCCTGTCTACCGATGGGAGGACACTCACACACTGTGGTCAAGAATCCACATTGACTTTGCTGGGCCCTTTCAGGGACAGCTGTTTTTAATAGTGGTTGATAGGCATTCAAAATGGTTAGAAATTGCACCAGTTCCCAATATGACTACTGCCAGGACTATCCAGGAACTGCACAGAATCTTTGCAACACACAGGCTTCCAGACGTCTTAGTATCAGACAATGGGGCTCAGTTTACTGCTTCAGAATTCCAGTCCTTCCTCAGGACAAACCTCATAAGGCACGCCACGTCAGCTCCCTTTCACCCGGCCTCAAATGGCCAAGCAGAACGCATGGTCTGCACAACCAAGGAGCCCTAAAATGGATTGTCACAGGAAACTGGCACTACAGATTGGCAGACTTTCTACTCTGCCAGCATACAACTCCATGCACAGTCATGGGCAGAAGCCCAGCCGAGCTAGGTTGGGGGCGACATTTGATCACTAAGCTGGACAGGCTCCACCCCACCCAGAAGTCTGCAAGTGGGTGACCAGGTTTGGACCCAGAATTATGGGCAAGGGGCTTTGTGGGTGGCAGCAGTGGTTGTAAAGTTGTCAGGGCCACTTTCCTATGAGGTGGTCCTCAAAGATGGGCGAGTCATTTGCCAGCACATTGATCAGCTGCATCGGTGGCTGGAGGATCAGTCACCAGCTCAGGACTCCCAAGAGAGCCACACACAGGGCCCGCATGACAGCAGTCCAACAGAAGGGTTTGCATGCTATGACAGGACCCTCCCTCAAGGAGACGGGGGAATGGCCGTAGTAGAACCTCCTCTGGATGCACAAACTGCATCGGCTGAACAGGACAGGCAAATGGCACTGAGAGACAGCCCTGCAGATTTTGCTGCAAGAGTGGACTTTGGTTTGGGCCGACCAGGACTGGCCAGTCAAAGGGACTCGAGTCAAACTGACTCCACTGAACCTCTGAGTCCTGGTCTACCCAGCCTGGCAGGCAAGCAAGTAGACCAGGGAACCCTGGCAAGCCTTAGGCATTCTGAATGGTCAAGAAGGCCACCTAAGTATCTGCAAGATTATGTCAAACAATTAAGGGTTGGAACTATCTAGGGGAAAGGGGTGTAATGTATTGATCACAACTGTTTTGAATCACTTGCTTAATGTCTAATCACTTGTTTGAATGTCTGACCTAGATTCTGTTGTTATGTAACAGCTGCTGTTACTTAAGCCAGACTTGCTGTCTCCAAGCTGGTAATTAGGTTTTGGGTGGGAAACTGTTACTTTACACCTATTGGCTGCTGCCTGGAGGCCAACCATATAAATAGCTGCACAGCAGCTGTTTGAGCTGTTTCTGTTCAGAGTTAAATAAACCTGTTGCTGTTTCAACACTCATCTCGCTTAATGCCTTCAAGAACCAAATACTTAACACACACCTCCTGGCAATTGCCTGGACAAGTCCCTACAGTTTTCTTGGCAACATTTTTCAGAAGTAGTTTGCCATTGTCTCCTGCCCAGGGCTGAGAGAAAGAACTGACAAAAAAATCACTTAGCAGGCTACATTTCCAAGTTGAAATCTGAAACTCCAGGTTTCTAGCCTGATGCCTTAACTTCTAAATCAAACTGGCTTTCAGATTATGTTCAGAGTATAATTTCTTTCCTTTGATGTGTGCTGTGACAAAACCAGAACCTGGCATATTGAGATGATATTATATCACATAATTATTTGATAACCACAAGAAATTAAAAAAGAACAAGAATAAATTAGGGTTGTAGGAGTCAGCTTCCCCCCAGAGAATGAAATATTTTGAGGAATATTAAAAAAAGACAGGATAGCATATTTCCCCTGAAGAAGAAATGGAGAAAAAATGGCCTCGGTCTCACTTTCCTCAGGCAGAAACCTGAGGAGGCCACTCTTTAGAAATGTAGATTTGGTTATCCATTCAGAAAGACTGGGGCACAGTATTCATTAGCAAACACCTTGAGCCCCAAAGCTGATGGGATTAAGAATTTAGATTTCCTCACCCAGCTCCAAGGACAGGACATGATCTCCCAGCCACAATGGGAGTCAGGCAACAATAATTGGAATACCAAAAGGACACACTCAAGCTCAGGTCAAAGTACATTGCACAGGAACAGGCACCTCAAATATAAAGCCCAAAGAAGGTATAAAAACACACCCACTATCAA